GGCGATCACCGATCATACACTTTTTCACGGAAATCGGCCGATTATGATCGGTGGCCTATCGATCGGCACACCTCTACATAAAATCCAAATAAAATGCATTAAAATTGGAGGATGTAACTTGTAATGATCCAAGAGATATGGACGCTTTTGCAATGTGCTGTAGGATGCTGCTTTGGGAAAATGTTGGTTTGTAATCAAAGCCAGCTTTTGTCATGTCAAACTGAGGGGAGGGTTTATTCTTCATTACAATTTTTTTCTTTTTAAGGAGATCCGGTTCTCAGTAGTGCTGCAATCAGCCTTCTAGACTTGACTTTAACACGTGTGGGACTTTGTGTTCATCGCATTTCAACTCTGGTTTCTCAGAAGGGGAATTAATAGCCGCTGCTGAAAGGAGAAGTGCTGCCACTGAAAAATGGGTGTTTATTCTCTATAAAATATAGTCAAAGTAATGCTTCGAGGTATTTCAAAGCTGAGAAGCTTTTACTTCACTTTGGTCAATAGATTTGACTCAGCTCGACCGTGGTTGCAATCATCTGCAACGTGATGGTGAATAAAATGCATCTTCCATGTAAGCAGATGGTACTGGAAATGAGCATGTGTGCAACTTTCTAAACGATAATAAAATCTTTGAAAAAGTATGAATTAAAAGTAAGCAAAAAGAAGAAGCTTTGTGGCTTCCTGGAAAACTCAAACCACACAACTAGCACTTTTTTTTTCTTCTGCGTTGGGGTTTCCCTTTTAAGAGGGAGGACGGCCTTTCTGGGGCTCATTCTCTCTCGTCTGCAGGCATCAAAGCAACACCAAACGCCGACATGCTGTGCAACTTCAGTGGACCCGTGCTGATCAGAGTGCTCCCACCGCTGCTGGTCACAGAGTTCGTTCTGGGTCTCGCTGGAAACGGCTTAGCCCTCTTCATCTTCTGCTTCCACTTGAGGCCCTGGAAAAGCAGCACGGTGCTGCTCTTCAACCTGGCAGTGACTGACTTCATGCTCATCATGGCTCTGCCCCTCCGAGCCAGCTACTACCTGTCGGGGATCAGCTGGATGTTCGGCGAGACGATCTGCAACGTCTGCCTCTTCATGCTGGCGATGAACCGCAGCGGGAGCACCTTCTTCCTGATGGCCATCGCCGTGGACAGGTACATGCGCGTGGTGCATCCCCACCACCCCATCAACTCGCTGAGCGTGGGCAAGGCCATGTTGGGCGCTCTGGCGCTGTGGCTGGTCCCCATTACAATGACCGCCCACGTCTTCTCTCTGCAACACGTCAACACGACCTACTGCGAAAGCTTCATGGTGGACACGACCTCCAGAGGAAACCTGTCCTGGCACAAGTTCACGTTTCTCTTCTCTTTCTACATGCCTCTGCTGGTGATCCTCTACTGCACCTTCCACATCATCAGTCACCTGAGGAGGAGACAGCTGACCAACCAGACCAAGTTCAAGAAGGCTCTGTACTTTATCGTGGTGGTGGTGGTGCTCTTCATTGTCTGCTTCCTCCCCAGCAACATCACTCTGCTGACCATGTGGATCAAGATGCTGCCAGGGTTCGTCTGCGATGACGTGGAGCAGCTCACCACCGTGTTTTACATCACCATCAGTTTGACTTATCTCAACAGCGTGCTGGACCCCGTGGTCTACTACTTCTCCAGCCCGGCCTTCAAGAACATCTGCAGGAGAACGCTGCACCTGCCCCAGACAGAGACTTGCGAGAGCACGGAAAAGAGAACGCGCGAGACGGCGTCCCATTCGCTCAGCCAGCTGTGATCTGCAGACTCAAGGGTTAACATCTGGTCAGATTGAGCAAGATGATGCCGTTTTTACTTGCCTTTGTAGCTGTGGAAAATGTGTTATCTGTGCTTTTCTTGCACAAGCATGCCTATGTATGACTATGAATGCATTTTTTATACAATTTCTTTTGTTTTATGTGAAAGTTTTGCACTTTTTGTTCACTTTTCTAGTGAACATTGCTTTAATGATTGTTTTTTTTTCTTCTCATGACCTTATATGGAAACAAATGTCAATGAACGGGTAATGAATACAAATTAAGGAAATCTGATATTTTTGTACATATGAAACTCATCAAACTTGTTAACATTTGCTGTCTAAAACCGAACAACTGTGACAACTTAAAGAACTACACTGAATAATTAGTACATATATTCCTAGGGCATTGCATCAAAAGCTCTGGTTTAATTAAAATGGTGTTTCTTGGAGGGTTTTTGCAGCCAAATACAGCTATTTATGTGTCATCTTTAAGTTTGCCGAACAGCAGCTTAGTTTAAATAATTTTGTGGATGGATGACAGTATGGATTGTAATTCAGAACTTAGCTTGTCTTGTACCAGTCATGAAATGTGCAATAAATAAAGCTTACTTGACAATTTTTAAATGATGAGTCACTTCGTGAACACAAATGCAAAAAAAAAAAAAAATCGTCCATGTCAACTTTCAGAAAGACTTTAAATATGGGTATGAGTAATTTCAAATCAATGCAGAAAGCTAAATATTAACCTCAGACATCTCTTCACTTTGATGCATTTGGTAATGCTCATTAAGCAGATGTCAATGTGAAAGCTCCACGCTTCCCAATAAATATTAAACCTTTCTAGCTTCGTATATTTCTACAGCGACATTGTTTCTCAGTCACAAAATGACGAGGTGGTTAGGAGCAACGGAGCTTGTCTTTAAAAATATTGTTCAACATTTGGTGAGAGATCAAATCACCAGTTTTTGATTAGAGATTAAAATTTTTTCAGTCTATTTTTACTTGTGTGCATCCCAACTAATGTATTCTTTTTTTTTTTTTTTACAGCACCAGATTCTTCTGGGTCATTCGTCTACATTTTCAGTGAATACTTTAATAAATTACAAAGATTAAAATGCTTGAATCTCACATATAATTTAGTTAGACTGAATGCTGTACGGAAATGTTGATACATCTGGGCTTCCTGCTTGTTTTACATATGCAAACCTCATATTTTTACCCCCCATTAGGGGCATTGGAGGACAAACTCAATTGTACTGTAAAGGATTGTTATTTCAAAATACAGGCACTGTAAAACAAAGTTTGTAAATTAAGATGCACCTATAGCAAACCCTTCCTGGTTGATGTAGATGTCTGGTTTCCTGAGGTCTGACCAGCTGACCGTCTGTCACAGCTGCTGCTGAGTTGTGACGACTCGCACCTGATCATCATCGCGATGATCTCCAGCTGCTGCCATATAAGGACAGATCTTCCTCTTACCCCGCTTCAGATTGTCGTGAAACCCAAAGCGGTAAGACCTTCAGGCCTTCTGCAAACGCTAGAGCGATTTGTCCAGCGCCTAACCCGTCTGTCCCTTTCCCCTCCTTGTCCGCACTACACCCCAATCCTGACCTACCCCTCCGGATTTGGATTCGCTCGCTGCTCTGAATTCACTGCTGTCCGTCTGTGCCTGAATCGTGTTGCTTTCTTTATTGTTCTACGGGTCAGTTCATGTGAAAGAGATGCTGCAGAGAAGTATCAGTTTGATGAGATCTAAATCTCCTATCCACAAAGACACTATTCGGTGCCATTAACTTCCAGAAGCTAAAGACGCGTCAGTGTTTTGTCAAAGCTCCCAAATTCAACAAGAACACACCAACAGTGAAACTTCTCAGGTGGTCCGTTAAAAGAAAAAAAGAAGCTTTTTGTGCTACATCAGCCTTGCAATCCATCTCCTGTCTGTGTTTTGTAATCGGATTTCAAGAGATTTAATCAAAATCTCTCTTTTTGTTAATAGCTGGATCAGCCACAGACGGAGATAAAGCTCTGCTTTACAGAGAGCGGGGCTCTGACTCATAGGACGTTGTACCAATGTTTCCCATCCTCGGGAGAAAGAGACGGGGCTGAGGCAGTGTGTGACCTGAAGTCTCCTGCCAAATGGGTGGGATTGTTTACATCTTTGACCACGGTGAGATTCAAAGACAATAAGCTACTGGGGTGGACCTTCGCCTCTCCGTTTTCCCTCTGAGTAGGAGCCTACTCAGAAAAGATGGGGAGACTTTCCCCACACGGTTGTGGAAAATTATAAAAACATCCGACAGCTCAATTGGTTCGCTGATGAATTGGTAAAGATTCATCTATTACTCCAAAGGCCTTTTAGTTTCTGATCAATACCGAAGGGGTGAAATGACCAGCTTTAACATAAATAAGCTGAAAGGCATTGCTCGTTTTCCCTCTTAAAGAATCACTCAACCAACAATTTAAGAACGATAAGTTTATTCAAAACTACATGAACAGGTTAAAGACAAGTGAGTGCAAATACTGCAAGTCAGCCTGAAGAAGACGGAGACGGAAAGTATAAATATAAAGAGTAAAAACAACGTTGCCTTATCCAGACACTCCATTGGTCGTGCTGAGAAAATCCTGAAAAACAAATAGGTGCAGCATGAAGTTTGGTTTGTTACCAACACAGAGCTATAATAGTTTGCTAATGCAGATGTACCTTCAGGCAGCCGTTGGACAGTGTTTTCCCCCGCTGCTGCTCTCTGTGCTTCAGATACTCACGAGTGAGCGAATCGGCGTCATCCTGACTGAAGAGGAGTTTCATGTTTTAGGTACATAAGACTGACAAGTGAAGAAATTGTTCTGAAGGCTTCGTTGTGTTTTTTTAACGGCTCGTTCTGTAAGCGGCAGTCAGCGGTTAACGATGCAAAAGGCTAATATGACAAAAAGTAAAGAAGGTCAACGTTCGGTGCTTAGAAAACTACATTTTAGTACAAATTTACAGTGAACCGCATGCTTACAGTTTTGGTCAGACGTTTGTAAGGTTGGCGGCTCCATAGCATAATCCCACCACCACCGTGCAAATTGCTTTGCTTTGTAAAAGCGTTCATTCCTGCTTGGCATTTTTTCCACATTTTGTTTGTCTACAACCACAAAGTTCAAATTGAGTTTCACATGATAGAATAACACAAAGTAAATTAAAGTGTGAGGAAAATGATACATTCAAACATTCAAATATTATTTCTTCGAAGTAAAAGTCTAAAAAGGAGGTGTAACCAGATTGTATTTCTCTTTTGTTAATTACACAAAGTATTTTCTTGTTATTCAGATTGCTCCTTTACATGAATTTACACCTCTGAAAACTGTCATTGTCATAGCCGTGTGACATCGGGAGCCTGTCCTCTTTATTTCTTCTTCTGTGGTATTGTTAAATTGTTTGCTCCCCTTAGGTCCTGCAGGAGAGGTGGGTATTGTTCTTTTCTTTTTTCTTTTTACCCAAATACATCCAGTTTATTTATAGATTTACTAAGTTATTTTTCATTGTCATCACTATTATGATAAATCTGTTCCATAATGTGAATATTTAAGGGAACTTACAATTGTAAAGTAGCAGGAGTTAATTTTAGTTTCGCTGTGTACTTTGGTTTTGTGTGGGACTTGGAGCAGGCAGCACAATGACGCGGCTGTTTTCTGTTTGTTCTTCCCGTCAGAATGAAAAGAAAAAACGTGCCACGGCCTAGTTTTTAAACAAAACCAGTACAATGGAAAAAGGATCTGGCTACAGAGGCACGCATTTACTTTACTTTCAGTCGTATTTCTACACCAACTTTACTTACCTAGTGGCACAAATCTGCAGATTCTTTGCCAAACAGTCAAGTGAGTCAGATCGCAGAGAATCTGTGAACATTTATTTGCAAGTCTTGCCACAGACTCTTGGATTTAGGCCATACTAACTCATAAATATGCTGTCATTGCAGCTCTGTAAGCTGATGGTTGTCATCCTGCTGGAAGGTGAAGCCTCCACTTCTTCTTCTTCTTCTTCCAGGATTGATGTGTGTCTAGCATCTTCATGATGCTGTTTGTTCTCTAATGTTCGCCAATAAACCACTTGGACCTTCAAATGTGACACTAATGGACTCTCTTTACCAGTTGGGTGACTTCATAACTACGCAACATCTTGTGATTGTTTATCATGAAACGTCTCAATACCCACTGATTTCTTATCTTATTCAAATCCATATGTGAAATAAACAAATTTACCGCATCTACATGTGAGGTGACGACTGCAGTTTATTTTTTGAAAGAATTCAGTTGATATTAATACTTTTGTGAGCCACTGAACACAACTAAAATAAAACTTGTTAGCCAAAAGTTGCCCCTCCCTGCAGCTGAAGCTGCTTCATGCTATTTTAGTTCAGAAAGTCATAGTGTTACTTCTTTATTTCTCGGTGCCGTTTCTTGTCATCCATCTTCCATATATGGTCTGTGGGTTTCCATGTTGTCTGAAGCACATTGATAAAAACAAAAACGCCGACCAGCTGGAGTCTTGGTGGAAGCCGGCTTGCAAAGACACAAATAATCCCACCCTGAAGTTTTGCTTCAAGATGTCTCTATTGATTTGGATCAATAGTCCTGTCCTGGATGACGAGTCCACACCAGCGTGTTCTCATATCACAATCTGATTCTTTGACAACGAGACGGGACGTCTGAAGCGCTTTAAGAAAAAAACTCATTTTCACGAAAAACAACAAATCTTTACCAGTTCTGGCTGATCAGGCACTCCACCAACTCCTTCAGCTGGTTGGGTTGGCCACTGGACACAACGAGCTGCTTCAGGTGGGCGAAGTGTTTGGTTTTCATCACTTTCTGGTGCTGTCCATTTTGGCTGATGAACTGTAAGACCGTCTCCCTGATCTGAAGGAATATAAAAGTATCAGTCTGTAGTTAGAACAGAATATAACCCCAATCAAAAGTGCTTCTGTTAAACAGATGAACCGTTTTGCATTTCTGTGGCGATTTGAACAGAGTCACCAACAGCTTCCTTAACTTCACATCATCAAACTCATCCAGCATAATTTCCTGTTCCACATGTTTTCTGGGAGTCGATGCCGTCAACGCGTTGAAGATTAAAGAGAGGAAAAATATACATGAGTGTTCTCCGCATGAAACATGCATTTAGAAAGAAGTGACACAAACAGGATGGAAGCTGAATTTTTGTACAGGAAGAACCTGTAAAGCTTGAGGCTCAAATGTGAATCAAGAAACACAAACCTGCAAAAACAAAGTGACAAACTACAGCAAACCAGTTCAGTTTTTGTAAACTATAAATGGATTGTTTATGTAAAACAGTAGAAATAAAATTAACTACATGTAAAGTATTACAAAATAAAGTTTGAAGCAAATGCTCACTTTAAATACCTTTAAATTTAGCTACAGATTTAGTCAAAACCGCTCCACTAGCGGTCTGAGACTTCAAAATCCAGGAGTGTAAAACGTTGGTAGGTGTTATTGTCAAACAGTTTATGTAATTAACTGCATTTTAAGGACAGCTAAATTCAATTTTAGCCCAGGTCGTTGAAAGGAGTGAGAAATTACTTAAATAGTACCTTATGAAAAGATCTCAACATGTCATGTCCTGATTT